TGAAGATTGACAAACTCAACTAGTTCACTCACTACAAATCAATATTGATTTTATGCTTAAAAGAAATCAGTTTTTTTAGGAAAATGTTAATGAAAAAAACAATCACTCCGGTAGTACATTTGTTCATTTTGAACGTTTTGTAAAATTTTCAATAACATTCGTTTTTCGATGAAACTATTTTAAATATATACTAACATACTACTATAACAACTACTAAGCAAGCATTGTTACCTTGGTAACAAACAGTTTTGAATTGTCGCATGTAATATTAAGCAATTCAAGTGTTCACTTACAATGATGATAATAAAGTTTCCATTCTAGTCTACAAATGAATTCTAATTATTTATTGGCACAGTTTACTAACATGTACGAATGTTTTGGGGCAGAGTTTTGGAGGTTTGTGCTGTTACACATTTGAAATCATAAATCAATCAATCATTGTTAGACCACCACTAATAGAAACCTGGAAGCACTGAAAGACAGCCGTTTCGTCTTGGTATGATTGATTGATGATTTCAAAAATGTGTAAAAACACAAACCTCCAAAACTCTTCCCCAAAATATCGTAACAGTGCTCATTAGTGACTAGCTTAGTGAGGAAATTCTCGGAGTTCTAGTTGAGAAGACGTGACCAATGGAGTTCAACCCTGTCGGATGTAGGCAGTAACTACCAAAGACAAAATGGGTGAGGTCGCGCAAAATCTGTAGATCAATCAGAGTTAGACATTAACACAGCTGGATACCGGCCCAGTGGTCCGATGGTTAAGCGTTCGCGCACAATAACGAAGGTCCCTGGTTCGAATACTGCGAGGAGCAGGAGTCCCGGATGCGCACTGCTGATGAGACCCATACCAGGACGAAACGGCTGTCCAGTGCTTCCAGGTTTCTAGTGGTGGTATAACAATGATATCGACTTGATGGTTTCAAATGTATGGATATATTTTGAAAAAAAATATATGAATGATAAAGTGTCTTTAAATTCAACTGTCTCATCGGTTTAAAATTTGATTTATACAAACAAGAATCATTGTGAATACTTTTTAAAAAAATCAGTACATGGTATTTAGCATTCATGTCATTAATGTTAGGTGATGTGAGGAGAGACAAGCCCTGTCTTGGAACCCTCAAAGTCAAAGGAAAAGAGGAAGGCCAAAGAACAAATTACGCCGAGAAACAGAGAAAGATATGAGAGGAATGAACAAAAATTGGAAAGAATTGGAATGGAGAGCCCAGGACATAGTTGGTTCGAAGAAACTTGTGAGCAGCCTATGCTCCATTGGGGGTAACAGGCATAACTAGGTAAGTAAGTAAGTAATTAATGCAGGGAAGTTGGGCAGAACAACTCTATATGATTATAGTTTCAAATGAAGTTGAAACTTGTTGTTGAAGCGTACCTACAACATGGAGAGAACTGATGGTCCCTGTGCTATTTGAAAACCAATGTTACCTATCTTTTTTTGTCGTCTAAAAACATCACTCATCAATGAATTATTTTCATGTGGTTACATAATGTTTTGTGTTACGAATATATTCATCTCCTGATAACTAAACATCAAATGTTGAATTGAATTTTACTAACACTTTTTTCAGTTAGAGCTTTGGAGATTTGTGTTTTTACACATTTGAAATCATCAATCAATATCATTGTTAGACCACCACTGGAAGCCTGGAATCACTGGACAGCCGTTTCGTCCTGGTATGGGACTCATCAGCAGTGCGCATCTGCGACTCCTGCACCGCGCAGGATTTGAACCCAGGACCTTCGGTACTGTGCGCGAACGCCTCACCTCTGGACCACTGGGCCGGCATCCAACTGGCTATTATGTAATCTGTCAGTTTATTTACTCCATGTTTCAATTGATTGGTTTAAACTTGATCAGCATTGAAGGCTAAACGTAGGCATCACATGGATTACTGTCTTATCTATCTTCATATAAGTGAGAAGAATCCTCCAAAACAGAGAGAATTCATTCTAGTTGTATTGCTCATAGCCAAACTGCCTATCTTATTATTATTATTACTATTATTGTACTCTCGAGCATTAATTGACTTTTCAGTAAATTCACCTTCGTTCTTCTATCTTTGCACAATCTTATGATCTTATTGTGTAATGCATAGATAATTCAGTAGCCTTTTGTTCCGATATTGATGTGTTTACAAACTAAATAATTGTAGAAATCGTTGAAGATTCTTTGGACTCGAATAAAATAACTTCGAAATCTTTGTCTCTGACTAGCTAAAGTTAATGTGTTGTTTAAAATTAAAAAATTTATCAATCTTGACAATTTCCTATGTGAAATCAACTATGGTGTCTGGCAGGCACCTTGGTGATATTTATCTAGAGAGAGAGAGATAGCGCCAAACCGTGAATTGATTGAAGTTAAAGATTAACACCGTTAGATACCGGCTCAGTGGTCTAGAGGTTAGTCGTTCACGTGCAAGACCGAATGTCCTGGGTTCGAATCCTTCGAGGCGTAGAAGTCGTGGATACGCACTGTGACTGATGAGTCGCATACCAGGACCAAAGAGCCATTCAGTGCTTCCACGTTTCTATTAGTGGTAGTCTAACATTGATCGATTCATGATTTCATTGAGACTGAACAATCTCCGTAGTCGTCTTTCATGAATATAGCACAGTGTACACACTAATGACCAGCTTCGTGAGGAAATTCTCGGAGTTTACTGAGAAACCATGACCAGTGGATTTCAACCGTATCGGTTATGGCGCAGTTACTCACAGAGGACAATGGTTGAATTCGCATAATATCAAAGTTAGACACTACTGTATTCAGTCTCAGTGGTCTAGAGGTTAAGTGTTCGCACACAAGACCGAACGTCTTGAGTTCGAATCGCAACAGTGGGAGTCGCCGTGGATGTGCACTTCTGACGAGTAATCCTATAATCTAATGTTTCCAGATTTACAGTAGTGATGCTCTAACGCTGTTCGATTCATGATTCGCATGATACTCAACAATCTTCACAACCCTATATGAAAATATTCTATTCACGATTTGTCACATTCTATACAAAGAATTATCCCATACTTGTAAAATTAATTCTCAGCTAGTTATTTATTCAAGTTATTGTATACAGATAGAATTATTTCACTTAAATAGCGATTGCTCTAATAAATAATAGTAATAATAATAATAATAATAATAATAATAATAATAGTATTATTAATAGGTGAATTTCTCTGTGAATTCAACTAAATCCTCCATACAACCACCATAGACACAGCTGGCCACCCACGCATCATTCCTATGTGAGCGTATACACGCACAACTCACCACACATACAATAAACAATCTGACGAACATGTATCTATAGATTACTATAAATAAAACATAACAACACAAGCTCAAAACACACATACACATACACACCCATACTATCCGCGCACTTGGCTACACCGCGCATACATTCAGTGAAAAAACCTCTAACCAACAACAACAAGTAACTAACTATGCACATACACGCAACATACATACATTAAAACAAATGTTTTATGCTATTACTTGACTTGACTGCCTCACTAACCAACTAACTAACTAACTAATTGACTGACTGACTGGGACTGTAAATAAATGAAATATTTCGGCAATTTGTAAATAATCTTTTCCCCATGTGTATATACATTTGTACATTTCTAAATGAATGAATGAATGAATGTGAAAAAAAGAACTTTAAACATTTTTTGTTTTGTTTTATTTTGTGATCCATGTTAGTTAATTAAACAAACAATGTCTACCTATAGTTTTTAAAAATATTTTATTTTTTTTCGTTTTTAGATATATATTTATGCATATATATCAGTGAGTGAGTGAGTGAGTTAAAACAACAATTTAAAAATGAACATTTTTTCATATGTTTCTCTTAGTTTATGTTATATTTTACTATTCTGTAGTCAGTCTTATATGATGAATTTGTAGACAGTTTTTCCACTTCAATAGGTTGATAACAACTACATTGCGGATCGATCGACCAGTGGATGAATATTGGTCCAATGAATTCAACATTCGAATTGTTTCATGTGAGATTAGCAAGTTCCATGGTTCAGATATTTGAAAACTGTTAAGGATGCGTATGATAGAGTCATATCAATACGTTACAATATTTTTTTTGAAAAGTTTAACAGAGAAGAAAGAATTGTTCAGGGATGTTAGATCCCCACAACTCGCTTGATAAATGTTTTAATTTTGGATTTTATTCATGGGCTGATCAGTTTACCTTGAGATCACATTTCCTACCAGGAAAATCCTTGGCTGTGATTGGTTACTGTGTTATTTTAATGTGCTATTTTTGTGACTGTCCCAAGGACGTTTCTACAATGTATAAATAAACACAATTTGTGTGCTTGAGATCATTGTGTTTGCTGACTAAGGCGTTTGTAAAACACACTTCCTGCGCTATATCAAGACTTTTCGTTAGAGGTCTTATGGGTGAACGGATCAGAGTAGCCAACCTAGACACTGGCTAGTTCATTTGTCTCATTCTCGTTTATCGACTAAGCTGAACTCGTGATAGTTTCAAGCGTAGCAAGTGACAAGCATAACAAGAATACTGATCGATTGTATTTTTAGTTGTGATAACATAAAATGCAGTGAGAAAAAGAACCTGTGTAAGAATGTGAACAGAGGAATTTGTAGTGTAGAAAGGTTCATTTTCAAAAGTAATTTTCAGTTGTAATTAATTACAGGTTGTAAGAAAAAAACAGATTTTTTTTATATGTTGAAAAAAAATCCCAACATAATGATTGTGTGTTTATTTTCTTCAAAAGATAATAAGTTTTTGTCGAAATTTTTTATTCATGATGATAAAGTGAACTGAAGTGAAAATTTATGTGAATATTAAAAAAATAATGAGTAATTATATTAGTTTATAGGTTTGGAAAATATTTAATTTTCTTTTTAAACAGTAATATATATGGACATGAGATTTAAAGCGCCAGTAGATTTCAAGGCTTTCTGTTCGATGATCGAAATGGACTTTGCAAGGTATTCACTTTATCTTAACAATAAGAGTAGTTATAGAATTATGAGTAGTGATAGTAGTATGAATAGTAGCAGTAGTAGTACTAACATGAGTAGTAGTAGCAATATTAGTATTAGTAGCAGTAGCAGTACTAATATAAGTAGTAGTGGTAGTATGAGTATTGACAGTAGTAGTAGTAGTAGTAGTAGTAGTAGTAGTAGTAGTAGTAGTAGTAGTAGTAGTAGTAGTAGTAGTAGTAGTAGTAGTAGTAGTAGTAGTAGTAGTAGTAGTAGTAGTAGTAGTAGTAGTAGTAGTAGTAGTAGTAGTAGTAGTAGTAGTAGAATAAGTAGCAGTAATAGTGTGAGTAGTAGTAGTAGTCATATGCGTAGTAATAGTAATAGCAGTATGTTATATTAATAAATACAATGCTTATATTTCATTGTGAATAATTGTTAATTTTTAGTTTAAATTAAGAATACCATGATACTCGTCAATGGCCTATGCTCATTTAGCTGGAACAAGCTTATTTATTTATACAAGTAAGGTAATCTCATGATATATTTCATATAAGCAGTGTTTAATCTTATAAACTGTAGTGAAACACATATGAATCAACACATTTCAAATAATCCCTTCTAATTTATCATCAACAATTTTAAAAAATGAAATGCAAAAAAAGGTCTATATATTATTGAAACTTTAATGTTCAATGTATTCAATATTTTTAATTTTTCAAGAATAAAATACAGTGATCTTTAAGTTACTACTACTACTAATACTACTACTACTAATAATAATAATGATAATAAGACTGTGGTGCGCGCTACTTATAAGTAGTATATGACGTGAGTGAAAACGTAATGTCTGGTAGCAGAAGATGGGGAAGATCAAGAAAGGAAGAAGAGTGGGAACACAATGGAATTTGTATGAAACACATGAATAAGTGAAATGTCAGACAATGGATTGATGTTTTGCAAATTAACCGTTTACGATATGGTTCTCCTATTTTACTACTGAGTAACTCTGTAATATTCGTTAAATACAATTCGGTTGCCCTCACCTGTGTTCTCCTTCACTACAAGACAAATTATTTTCGCCATATTATAACGAATCATGCGAAAATCATAGATAATGTTGAAATAATAAAATTTTTATAAAGGTGTTAGGCTGGTCAATTGATATTCTTGAAACCATAACGAGTTCGCCTCAGTCGGTAAACCGAGAGTGAAGACAAATGATCCAGTGACACGATAAGCTATTCTAATTTGAGCGTCCCAGTGCCCTACTAAATAGAGGAAGTAGTCTTGAAGGGACTTAGAAATAACCCAGAAAATATGAAGTTGATAAACACACAAATCGAGTTTATTTATACATGATAGGAACGTCCTTGGAGGAGCCACAAAAATAGTGTACTAAAATAATACACCAACCAGTAACAACCAAGGATTTTCCGGCTGGGAAATGTAATCTCAAGGTCAGCTGATCAGCCTATGCTCAAAAACACAAAAATCCAAAATTAGGACACTTATCAAGTGAGTTCTGGGGATCTAACGTCCCTTAACAGTGTGTTTCTAAGTAAGGCGATAAGAAACTTCTCAAGTCAAAAGTATTTTGAAAGAACTAATAACTATCGACTTCATGCATGTTTCGTGAAAAAAATACATTCAATTCTTGTGGTTTCTTGGAATTTACATTCACATATTCAACATTCAGATGATTGTTTCAAAAATAACTTTGTGAAACTCATCTGTGTGAGTATGATTCTAACACACAGTGTTGTTGTGGGAATTGTGTGGGACTATGACGATATTGTAAACAGTGTGAACGGAGTGGAAGAAGTGGTGGAAGTGGATAGGATACACAGTGAGGAATGCACCTAACTGTATCACAAGACAAGCCCTCACTTGGAACCCTCAAAGCAAAAGGAAAAGAGGAAGGCTAAGAAACACATTAAGCCGAGAAATAGAGAAAGATATGAGAGGAATGAACAAAAAATGGACAGAACTGGAGAGGGAAGCCCAGAACAAATTTGGTTGGAGAAACCTGGTGGGCGGCCTATGCTCCATTGTGGGGGTAACAGGCGTAAGTAAGTAAGTAAGTGAACAGAGAGTGGACAACTGTGTTTTAAACGAATATTGAGTGATGTGGATACGGGTTACTTTGATTTCCATGCCGAAAATTTTATAAATCACACTTTTTTGTGCCGTCAGTTTGTATCTGTGCATAGAATGAATAAAACCCTGTTCATATTTGCTCTTGCCGTTTATTTACTGACAATAAACACCATAATTATACCAGTCAGTCAGTCAGTCAGTCAGTCATTCAGCTACAACGTAGAACTTCGTATGTACGTACATCCATTCAAGTTACCATACCACATTAGAGCAGAGAGATCGAATTGCCAATGCAGATCCCATAGTAATATATGTGATAGAAGTATTAGTAATAATGGAGAAGATTAGGGCTCGAAGATCTTATTCGAGAAATAAATTTAAAAGGGGAAAACAGTAGGTCAAAAGGGAATCCAGAAGATTGGAATTTGATAGAAAACAAAGAAATGGATGCATCTACGCCGATACATTCAAAAGTCTAAAACCATTGGCTACGATTATCTTGCCGAGCACAACCTGTTAGTCTACACCTAATCACAGGGGGTCAATTCAGTTGTCAATGATGTCAGGGATTTATGCCATGTTTTCACTTGACCACTCTTGACCCTCTTCCAACCTACCCTCACTATAATGACGTTACATAGTTTAATCAAAATTGAAAATGAGTTTTTGCTTTTTCTAAATCTCATCAGTGGTCTTTTATTTTATTCAAAACAAAAATCAATGAACAGTGATCATCATATTCATACGTATACAAACAAAAAATCTTATCCATTTTCTCATCTCATCTCAACTCATCTTATCTCATCTTACCTCATCCATAAATCATCATGTTTGCTACTTTGGTATAAAAAAATATTATATGCAGATCACAATGTTGTTAGTATCGATTAATTAATCAATTAATCCGTTAATCAATGAACAGAAAAGCCGATACTAATAATCAGAAAATCAGTGAAACAAAAATTCAATTTCGTGGGATTAAAAATAAATCCCCATGTACTGAATCGATTTGATAACAAAGTTTTGAGGTATCGTTTGTTGAGAGTTGAAATACTTACTTACTTACTTACTTACTTACTTACTTACTTACTTACTTACTTACTTACTTACTTACTTACTTACTTATGCACTTACTTACTTACTTATGCACTTACTTCCTTACCTACTTACTTACTTACCTTACTTACTTACTTACTTACTTACTTACTTACTTACCTTACTTACTTACTTACTTACTTACTTACTTACTTACTTACTTACTTACTACTTACTTACTTACTTATGCACTTACTTACTTACTTACTTACTTACTTACTTACTTACTTACTTATGCACTTACTTACTTACTTACTTACTTACTTCCTTACCTACTTACTTACTTACTTACTTACTTACTTACTTACTTACTTACTTACTTACTTACTTACTTACTTACTTACTTCCTTACCTACTTACTTACTTACTTACTTACTTACTTCCTTACCTACTTACTTACTTACTTACTTACTTACTTACTTACTTACTTACTTACTTACTTACTTACTTACTTACTTACTTACTTACTTACTTACTTACTTACTTACTTACTTACTTACTTACTTACTTACTTACTTACTTACTTACTTACTTACTTACTTACTTACTTACTTACTTACTTACTTACTTACTTACTTACTTACTTACTTACTTACTTACTTATCAGAACAATGGAATACTGACGATTTGTGAGAATACATAAATGATCATTTGAGTTGAGTAGAGAGAGAATAATGTATTTATTCAATCAATAAATTGATATATATATATATATATATATATATATATATATATATATATATATATATATATATATATATAAAGGGAAAAGCAAAATTCTCCGATGCAACACAACATGCATCAGCCAAATCACTCTTGATGGAGATGCCTTGCAGCAGGTTAAACCATTACATAACTGGGCAGCATCATCGACGAGAAAGGTGGATCCGATTCAGATGTGAAGGCGTGGATTGGCAAAGCAAGGGCTGTATTTCTACAAAGGAAAAATATCTGGAACTCCAAACAACTTTCAACCAAAACCAAAATCAGGATTTTCAATACAAAAATTGTCTAGACAGTTCTACTGTATGGAGCGGAAATTTGGAGAACTACGAAAGCCATCATCCAGAAGATACAAGTGTTTATTAACAGTTGTCTACACAAAATACTTCGGATTCGTTGACCAGACACGATCAAAAACGACGTACTGTTGGAGAGAATAAACCAGACTCCAGTCTAGGAGGAAATCAGGAAGAAGCGGTGGAGTTGTGGATAGGACACACACTACGAAAAGCACCGAACTGCGTCACGAGACAAGCCATCACATGGAACCCTCAAGGCAAAAGGAAAAGAAGAAGGCCAAGGAACACATTACGCCGAGAAATAGAGAAAGATATGAGAGTAATGAACAGAAATTGGACAGAACTGGAGAGAGAAGCCCAGGACAGAGTTGGCTGGAGAAAACTGATGGGCGAGTTATGCTCCATTGGAGGGTAACAGGCGTCAGTAAGTAATATATATATATATATTGTTTGATTGATAGATCAAAATAGCTTGACGAATGAGTAACTAAGTTATGGGTAGTAGGTAGTACTCGTAACAGATTGATTAATATCAATTAGAGCAAGGCTGAAAACTGTTGTGTACACTCAAGTTTGTTTCAAGAATGAAATTTAGGACTTTCTAATGTCGCAGTCAATATTATTGGCAAAGCGTACAGTTGACAATGAACATACACACACACAAACTTTCTACGAAATCGACTTGGAAAAAACTATGACATTTACATTACGCAGTGGGAATTTGAGATACTGGTGTTTCAATTTTTTGAGATGGATGTTTTGGTTGTGGAGCTTTCATTGTTCTTCTGTAAAATAGCATTAGCACAAACTTTGGATATAAATGAAGTATTCGGATTTCGACATTCATGATATGTAACATGTTCTGTTAACCTCGATATCTGAAACTTGTTGACAGAACATGCTAACGAAGGCATTCGTGGAGAAAGTAGAGTTGTTCTCCAATAGAAGCCTGTCTTTTGGCGAAATTCTCCCATTGAGGTTAACAGAAAAAGCTTAGGGTCAGAGGTGGAGAGATTCGAATACTTGTTCAGAAGAACCATGAAAGCTTAATAACCAAAACACCCATCTCAGAGAATGAAATTCCAGAAGCAAGTGGGATTTTCTTGTGATAAAAAATAGCAGAAAATAGATTCGAACGAAAATAAAAAGT